GGGGACGGGGCGCCCGCGGGCGCAGAGCGGCGGCTGCCCGGGGGCCGGGCCGGCGGCGGCGGCGGGGCGGCTGGTGCTGCTCCTGGTGCTGCTGCCCGGCGAGGGCCGGAGGAGCCGCAGCGGCAGGAGGCGGAGGGGAAGCGGCCGGCCCAGCGCTCCGGCCCCCCGGCTCCCCCGGGAGCGCCCGCCGCCGAGCGCCGAGCCCGCGGCCCCCGCCTGGATGGTAACCAGCGCCGGCCCCGCTCCGCGCCCGCATCCCGGCTCCCCCCCATCCCTCCGCCTCCTCCCCCGGCCCCGCCGCTGGGATTTCCTGCCCTGCTCGGCTTCCCCCGCTGCGCAAACCCTGCCCCTCCCCGCCGCTGATTTGCACTTGGCGGCTGCTCCTCTCGCCAACTTCCCTGGACCTCCCGCCCCCCAGAACCAGCCCTCGCTCCGCTTGGAAACGACGCGCCCAGAGGCGGCTGCCCCGGCTGGAACTGGGTCGCCTGGGCTGTGGCTGGGGGGGGACACTGGCCTGAGCCTGCCCTGGACCCCGAGCCCTGGACCCAGACTCTGAGCTGGGCTCTGGGGAGTCGGACCCCCACCCCCTTCTATAGCCTTTTCTATAAGTTTGGCCAAACTTTTGGTGTCCATTGCTTCAGTGGAGCCTCCATCCCTCCTGTCTCCCCCCGGGAGGTGGCCTGGGGGCGCTGCGGGGCGAGCTGATCCCCCCCTTCCCCTTTCAAAGGCTGTTTTGATGTTCTCCATCCAGGAGGGTCTCCCCAGAGGAGGGCTGACCATGAAAGAAGAACCCTTGACCAGTGGACTGACATCCGTAAGGTCCTGGATGCAAAGCGCTGGGATCCTGGATGCCAACACAGCAGCCCAGAGGTAAGGGACCAGCCTGCCCCAGCCCTGACACTTCACAGCAAAGCAATCTGTCATCCCACTGCTCTGGGCGGGCACACATCTCCTCCCAGAGCCAGACCCCGACCCCCGGGAGCCCAGCCTGGACCCGCCAGACCAGCACAAACCTGGCCCACCGCTTTATGCTAGAGGGGGAGTGTGTTTATGTAGGAAAGTTGGGAATTTTATTCTAATTGGCGTCTTTATTGTTTGAGCTGGTTGGTGAGGAAACCGCCAAAGAAGTAAATACTGAGGCTTCCTAGAAGGAGAATTAACTCAGAGGAATTTCAGAGCCCAATTCTTATTGTTCTGCCTACATTTTATCCTTCTGTCTTCCCTCCCCCCTCAAGTTTGGGAGGTTTAAAATTACCAGCGTTTTGTCGAAGCGCCTTCTGCCTAGTGATGATAAACCATTTAAACCTGTTCTGATACCAAGGAGACCAGAGAGAGAAATGCACTTTTGGGGGTTGTTCTTAAAGCTGTGAAAAGCGTCAGAACTTGCAGAAATATAAATGCTTTCAGATGTATCTCTCAGCAGAATCATAAAGGATTTTGATTGGAAATGACAAGGGAGATCAGCTAACATTATTAAAAACAATCGGGGTTGTATTTCCTTTCCCCAGGCAGTTGGAAAGTGTTTTGAAATTAACACTTCTGGCTGAAATGGCAAAACTGTGTTGCAAAGATAGCTGAGGATCTCCAAGATGCAGGAAAAATTGTTCCTTTCCCTCCCCCCCTCCTCCTTTGCCTAACACCCACAGTTTTGAAACTTCAGATCCATGACTCTAATTGTCAGGGAAAGTTCTCAGGACTGGTGGATGTGTGGGGACTGGTTTGGTTTGGTTTTTTAATTGGTGACTTTATTGATGTTCCATACCAGGATCGTGGATTTTAATGTGGAAATGTAGAAGCGTGGCAGGCGTTACTTTTCAGGTTTCTAATGCACAAATAGACACCTCTCTTTGTTGTGTAGGATGGCTACAGCTACCTACAGTGGACCTGACTTCATCCCCTTTAGATTGTTTCTGTGTGTTGCTAAATAGGACTATGTGAATCCTATGTCTTTGTGCTTGGAGGACATAGATGTTTGCTTCTTTTGATTTAAATTGTTTTTTTTATTGATCCTTGAATGTTCCCAAAGCTTTGATTTCTGCTCTCCTTTAACAATTACTTTAGTTCAGTTACGCAGAGGGGAAATTGAGATTATGAAAATAATGTGCATTAGATAATCTGTAAAGGGTGTGTGTGTATAGATAGATAGATAGATGTAATATGATTTAGCATCTCGGTTGTCTTTCCAACTCACTGTCCAGCTGGGTTTTCACAGAAGGAGAGGTGCTGGAGCGCTTGATTTTAGGCAAAATTCCCTAGCCGGGTATTTTCCTAACAAGAGGCAGTGAACTTGACCAAACCTTGGTGTAAGCCCTGATCTTAATGTAGCCTTCTTCCCTGCAGCGTGCCGCACAGCAGCTCCTTGGGTGTAGTGTATTTCCCTCTTGCTATTCTGGACTTGGAAACTCACCTCAAACTGTCAAACAAAACTGAAATATCCAGGGTAGAATTGCGGAGGAGACGGTACAAGACCTCTTAGTTCCTGTCTGGTCTATCCCCAAGCTGCCTGTTCCGTTTTCTCTGTTTCCTAATTCTGAGTCTAGGCGAGTTTTAAGCATCAGAAGCAAGCAGGCTGAGCAGGACTTTATTCAATGTATTTGGGGCTGGTGTTTGTGTGGCGGTCCCTGAGAAATTGGAAAGGGTTATTTGAAAACCCTGTGATCGTAACCATACAAAAGTCGTATCTATCTATCTATCCATCCCCAAATACCCCTGTATCTATCGATCTATCTTATCATAGAATATCAGGGTTGGAACTGACCTCAGGAGGTATCTAGTCCAACCCCCTGCTCAAAGCAGGACCAATTCCCAACTAAATCATCCCAGCCAGGGCTTTGTCAAGCCTGACCTTAAAAACCTCTAAGGAAGGAGATTCCACCACCTCCCTAGGTAACCCATTCCAGTGCTCAACTTAACCTAGTACATTTTTCAGATCCACCTATCGCCTTCCATCCCCGAAGGTTACACTGAGGCACTCACCAGAGAAAGCAGGGCAGATTGGCAGGAATTCTGCCCCGTCTCTCCGAAGCACCCCCCAGGTCAGGGCCGGCTCCAGGCACCAGCTTAACAAGCAGGTGCTTGGGGCGGCCAAGGGAGAGGGGCGGCACCTGCGGCAATTCGGGGGCGGCAGGTCCCTCACTCCCTCTAGGAGCGAAGGACCTGCCGCTGAACTGCCGCCGATCACAGCGTTTTTTTTTTTCCCAATTGCCGCCGCTGATCGCGATTGTGGCTTTTTTTTTTCTTCTTCCAATTGCTGCCGCCAATCGCGGCTTTTTTTTTTTTTTTTCACTTGGGGCGGCAGAAAGGCTGGAGCCGGCCCTGCCCCAGGTTGTGCCTGGTACCCAGCCACGAGGGCTGTGTGCGGGGCACGGAGGAGAGGGGCGCTCACCGCTGACTCGGGCTACGTTTCTGTAGCTAGCGCCAGGCCCTGCCTCTCCTCAGTGCTATTGGTATTCTGCCCATAGGGATCAGCATCCCCGTCTTCCACTCCTGGGCTTGGTGGGGCCGGTCCCCAGAAGCGACTTTTAGGCCAGGCAGCCTGGATGGCTGAGGGAATAACCCCCTGCAACCAGGCACAGCAGCGGCACAGCTCGGAGGCTGGGCTCTGCCCCGTTAGCACTCAGACAGCGCTTTGCAAACACTGAGCAATTAACCCTCCCAGCCCCCTGCCAGGGAGGGGAGGGGCGAAACTCGGATTGAAAAATAAATACATAACGCAGGGCAGAACGGCGTAGGATGAAAGGGGAGATTTATTTCCCCCCTCACACTGGTTGCAATAACAGGCAGAACCAGACAGATGTTCACAGGGAAACTGACAAATTCCAAGATTCTTCCCCCCCTTTTCGGGGCGCCCATATTGCCTAACCCAACAAAAATTACGCTTAATAAAAGATTTCCAGCCTGGCCTTGTAGCCAAACCCTCCCGCGATCCTGCGAGAGCTCGGGTTGAATTCTGAGGTCAGAGTGGGGAGAAGGTTTGCACTTAGAGAGGTTTCCTGCAGTACCGAATGTGTGTTGGCTTTTGTTCCAGGGATTAACTCTGGTGTCCAAATTAACGCCCGTGGCTAATAATGCTGGTGGGCTCTGCTTGGGGGCTGGGGCTGGGACAATGGGTGCAGAAACACGCAGCAGTTCTTCAAACTGGCGCTGTTAGAAAGGCACCGAACCCCTTCGTGGGCGCGGGAGGCTGTCCTTAACTTCGCTGCCTTATCCTGATCCCCAGGCATCCTGGCCCAGATCTCCCTTTCGGCAATGTCAGCGGAGGGACTAGATCAAAGGCAGGAACAATTTGAGCTCCTGGCTAATTGCACCTGATGGGGATTTTTTTCCCTTCCCCAAGTTGTTCACCCGCCCCCTTAACTCCAAGGGCTGAGTGATTCCCTCTCCCTGACTGAAGAGCAATTTTACCAGGGCTAAACCACGGTTCCCCCGAGCTGGATTTTCAGCCGAGGGTTTGGATAGAGGCGCTAATTAATCCTTAGGGTTTGGAGGAGCACGCGTGGCCTTTCCAAATGCACCAGCGGGATCCCAGTGCAAGACAATAAGGCATGCACGGAGGGCTGGGGGGAGAGATGAAATGCCCTGGGCCAAACCTTCTGCTAGCGTAAATCAGCAAGGTTCTCTTGACTTCAGTGGAGCTGGTCTGGGTCCGTTCCCGTGGCGCGTTCTCCAGCGGGGACTCTTGGGCAGGTGGCGCTGGGAAGAGGAGGGCAGGGATGTGACAGAGCCGTGCAGAGAGGGGGGCTGGTGTAGCAGGGGCACTGCGGGACGGGGAAGTGGGCACCGGGCAGGAGTGTGCCAGGAGAGGAGACGGGAGGGGCTGTGCAGGGGAGGGGGAGACACCTGAATTTGTTGCAGTGGAAAAGAACAACATCGCTCTCGTATTAAACAGATTTAGGCCCTTTACTGATTTACACCCGGCGAGGATCTGGCCCTGTCGGGAGTGTTGTGTACCCGGGCGGCAGGGAGCAGCTCCCCCGAGCAGAGCGTCATAGAGCTGGGGGCTGGCTCTAGCCCTCCCCCATTCTGCTGCCACCTCTGAGCTGTGCGCCAGGGGCCTGATCCTGCCTTCCTTGTGTGCCCCCAGCTCCCTGCAGCTCCGCTAGGACCCAGGTCAGCCCTCTGGAGAGGCGCCAAAGGCTTCCCGCTCAAGCCCTGGGCGCACGTCTGGGGTGCTGCGGGTTGAATTAACCCCTTGAGCGCTGAAGGAGGGCTGGAGAAAATGGCCTGCCCTGCCGTCGCCAGGGCCCCCGTCCAGCGCTCTCGCTGGGCTGGTTAACCCGGGCTGGCCCCTGGGCCGACAGCTGAGAGCTGTGCGTGTTGAAACAAGGAGACGGCCAGTGCCGGGGAGCAACCGGGCCTGATCTCCAGGGGCAGACCCAGGCCAGGCCAGGAACTAGTCAGGCGGCAGCCCGGGAGCGTGTGTGTCTGGCTGGGCAGTGCCTATCCCAGCCCGCCCCGCGAGAGCCAGGGCAGCTGGGGGCCCGGGTTTCCCTGCGGTCCCCCGTTCCCATCCTCTTGTCTCCCAATGTCTGTACTGACCAGATCCACCCAGCGCCCGCCGCACAGGCGTGGCACACACCGGCAGACCCAGGCGGGAATGTGGGCTGCACGCACACACTCGCTCTCTGCCCTCAGGCAGCTGCTGGGGGCTGCGGTTTGGGTTTGCTCGGGCGCGTCGCCGGGCCCTTTGTGGGAGTCGCTCCGCTCGGGGGCCGGTTATTAAAAGTAAAGTCACGCAAGTCGCCACCTGCAAAGACCCGTTAGATCCCGTCCCCCCCCGCCCCCCGGGCCAATGCAGGATCATTCCCTCCCGCGGGCTCCCAGCAGGAGGATAAAATCAGTGGTGACCCGGTGACCCGGTGTGGCCATTT